TCACCTGGCTGCTGCTGTAGGGCCACTAGGGCCAGGACTTCAGCCTTGGTGCTGGGCTATGGGGCTGCACGGTGCTGTTGGTGCGTCAGGGAGCCTGGCTCCAGATCAAAGCTGCCAGGGTTCATCTGGGCAAAGCACCTGAGTCAAGAAGCTCCCAGGTACGTTCAGCACGGAGCTTATCTTGGGGCTCTGTGCTGACTGATCTGCAAGTTACAACAGTTACGGTAATTAAATTGTTTCTTGTCAGAGAATTATAGATCCCTTTAGGCTCTTGCTGTCAATTATGAGACGGAGAGTGGTTGCTTTTAATGGAGCCAAGATTGGTAACAGGCTGCCCTCTGAGGAATGTTCCACTCTGGGGGCAGATTTTTTAGGGAAAGTTCAAAACGGAAAGATTTTCTTTATGTGGAAGAAAAATTCCATTACCATCACATTAAGTATAACAATATACCTATGTATGCATACATTCATGCACATTCATATAAATAAATATGAAATATATAGAGAATGCATATGCTTACATATATTTACACTTACTTATATAAGATTTATCCCACATGTTCAGTACAAAAGATACCTCAGGTAGTGTTCTCCACATTGCATTTTCTTTAGCTTTCACAGCAGGGAGATGAAAATACAATATTCTTTTTAAAAATTAGCATGTTTCTGAAGGATTGTTTAATTCATCTTTTATGATCCATGCAAGTTGCTGGGAATAGGATTCTGTCAGTGTCGTTGTGCTGGGCAGGATGTTAAAGAGCACTGTCATCTCCAATCACGAGCCCAGCACACTGCCCTGAAAAACAATCTATAAGCATTGTACTGCATAAGAGTAAACCCGGTCTAAGTAGAATTAATGGGATCTTGCCCTGGCATGAATACCTACCTACACCTTCAATGTGTGCTGTAAACACAAACACCATCTATTTGCTTTACCTAACTCTTATCAAATAGTTTGCAATCTGCAGTGAAGCTATGACCACTCCATGCTGAAATCTTGGATGAAGAAATTTTCTTCTCCCGGAAAACATATAAACAAAAGTCTATGCCCTCCTTTATTTTGATGGGACTTCTGCCCTGTAGCTGACCTCCCACACTCAGCTGCCATTGGAAAACAAAGTTGGGAAGCAGCTCTAGTGAGTACCTGGACCTGTTTGAGAAGCATTTTTGAACACCACTCATTAGACGTCCTTACCGTTTGATGACTAGATGTAAGTTTAGGAACCCGGGTTTAAAATCTGTCTTTGGAAATACGTGCTACTTCAGTTAGAAACAAGAAGCTGGTGCCATAAAAATAAAGGATGTTCACAAGTAAAATAACACCCTTCAATGAAAAGAGGAAAGCACCCTGGCTTCTGGCCAATGGGACTCACTCTGAAGCAATTTCGAGATAATGGCTCATTCATTAAGAAGTCTTGCTCAACCACAGCAGTGATTTGTGGGAATCAGGATCCCCCCCCTGTGCTGGGGCGAGGGTCTGGGTGTGTTCAGCTGGGGAACAAGGTGTCTCCACACTGCAACACGCTGCCTGCTACGTGCCTTCAGTCCTCTCCAACCAGGCAGAGCTGGGGGCACAGCTCAGCCTCACTGCATTTGGGAGAGGTGATGCCCCTTTTAGACAGGCCTAACAAACCCTAAACAACTCTGCTTTTATAATGTAACGGAAACCGAAGTTATTTTCCATGGGATCTGTGCAGAACTCATTTTGACTGTGTTTTGCACTGCCTGTGATTTCTTGCTTTGTATTTTTGGATATAAATTCTTCATACCAGGACAATATCCAAGATGCTGATTTATTTGTAAAACTTCATACAAATGATTAAATATTAGATAAACACAGTTTTCTCTGAACTGGCTTATAAATAGACGCCTCAGTTACTGCTCTGCATTCCAGGCCACAGGGGCATGGATCTCATTAGGCAGCCTTACAAAGCCTATATGGACAGCCTTGTTAGGAAAGGGGATGCCATGGAACTCTTCTTGATTTCACTTGAGCTGAAGGACTTTTTAACAATGTATTTTTGAGGAATAATTGTTTAAAAAAAAAAAAAAGTTTTAAGATGTATTTGAAAGTGAGGGAATATGAAAGAGAGAAAGCAAGAAAGGAAGAAAGAGGATTAACAAGTATTCACCTTTTATTACCATATGTAATTGATGAGCAACAAATTTAACAACACAAGCATTACTGAAACAGATTCTGGGAGCACTACCACGAATATAAGTCACACTCAGGCCTCTTCTGATCCTAGCACAATTAACAAGTAGGAAAACTTCCCTTGACTTAGCAGAAAAGTGGAAGAAGGAGGCATGGACTTCCCCACTTTTGTGGGTTGCATATACCATCTCAGAAGCTAGGAAGCCTGTCCTTGTCCATAGACTCTTTCAACAGAGTATGAACAATTCCTGCTGTTTTGAAATCTTTCTCCTGCTTTTGCACCCAAAAGACCACAGCCCGGCCTGAAGCTCCTTTTTTGAGGAGAGCTGCACAAACAAAGATAAGAACAGGCCTAATCTTGTGCCAAAATGATCTGCAGCAACGAACTAGGACATGGTTACAGCCATATTTATTGGCATTCCAGCACTATGACTCACGTGGAATTAGCTCTAGAAGTGGAACAATGTGAGCTGAAGAGGTTTACAGTTGAGGGATAAACAGACAAAGGAGATGGATTGAGGATCCAACCTGCAAGAGATCACATTTAGGAGAGAATTGGCATGGTATAACTTCTGAGTTGCTGCGGTTTTGTTTTTCTTTCTCTCTTTTTGTTTCTCTCTCTCTCTCTTTTTTTTTTTTTCAATCCCCCAGCTCTGAAAATGAGGTTTTTAGTCAGTGAAGCCAACTTTAAAGAGCTAACTTTTAAGAGTTAAATGTGTAAAAGCAGTGTACCCTGCGTTTGTGCAAGATAGATGAGTGAACTTCCCTTTTTAACTTGCCAGTATGTCAAAGTGTTAAACTTTCAGTTTCTAAAATGAAGCAAAAAATGAGGCCATGAATTAGGTTTCGTCCTAGAGGATTTTATCAGGATTTTAGTCAGAGCCCACCACTGCATTCACAAGATCCTCTAAAATCATGCTCAGATAATCTCTGAGCATGGGATCTGCTTGCCTTATTGGTGCAGTTGATTAAAACCCATGTTTTCATGTAAGAAAGCTTCTGGCCCACCTGTTTTATTGTTAGGGTCCATTTAAAGTCTTGGGAGCAAGACGCTGTGTTTTGAGAGTCCTGCGGTAACTTCCCACATTTCCCTGAGTTTGTATTCCCGGCAAATGTATCCCTCATCTCCTTTCACCTCCTACCAGCTGGAAGCTACTGGCAAGTTTGTATAAATGCAGCCCCTGTTTTACACTCTGCCTTAAGCAGCTTGCTTCATTTCTTCAGGTTTCAGCTCATTACGGTTAGATGGTGCTAGAAACTGGTGTCTTGGTGTGCTGCTAATGGGGCCGAGCACCAGTGAGCTGCTGGTGCAAGTGCAGGAACAGACCTGCAGCATCTGAAATCTGGATCAGGCCTTGGAGAAGGTGGCTGTAGGGCTACAGCCCTTGGGTCTATCTGGGTAGGGCAGATAAAAGATCTCAGAGAAGAGATCTTTTAGTTGTTACAGGGTAAAGTGCAGCATTAATATAGATGTTGTGAAGAACAGTGCATTAAATGGGATTGTTTTACTTCACTTGATGGTGGGAGCCATGTCACTTCTTGGAGGTCCCTTTCTTTCCTCTCCATGCACCACCGCTGGGTGTGATCCAGACCAGCTTCCAAGTGGGGGAAGGAAAGGAAACCCACAATTATTGATTTGCTCTGCCAAAGTTTGAACAGATTCCTTCTAAAATAAATGAAAACTTGTTCAACTGGCCTGGAAAACACAAATGCATGTGAAGTTCTGTACTGCCCTCTGTCACTGTCACACTGGGGGTTTGTTACGGAGTGAGACAGATTAGCATTGTCCCAAGCAGCCTGAATTATAAATCCTGAAGCTGTATTACACCAAAAAATATCCCTAGGTGATGGTAAGAGTTGGTCTCTTTGCTTCACCTAGGCAGGGGACATCAGCCTCCCCAGCTCAGCATCTCATTAATTTTTGAGGGGATTTCTTTCTGACTCTGCCCAGTTCCCAGCTGGTGGGTGACACTTCAGGATATGTAATGAAGGAGAAACTGAAGGCAGTTGATCAGAATCTGAGGTAGAGCAAAATTCCCGTCACCTTGCATGTAATTTGCAGTCTTTTCCACTCCCAGTCTGGCTGGTGAATTAGTAGGTGATGAAAAATATCCTTCTCACAAAGACATGATCTAGTGGTGGAAGATCTGCCACCACTAGGTAATGTGCTGCTTTTCCAGATGCACTTCCACCCTAAAAGAATTTAAATTCACCATTGGAAGCTGTTCCTGGTCTGACCATACCGTGTAAGCTTCTTAATCTTTTATGAAGGCACCAAACCTCAAATACCTCAAATGATATTGTGCCTCTGGGCTAGCAGCAACTTCTGTACATGGGAGCAGCTGAAAGATGGTTACAAACCATCTTTGCCATTTTTGTTAATCCTTTCAGATTAGGACTCAGCATAGCTTGGCTAAATTTGACTTTGCTCTAGCTTGTGAAAGCAAAGTAGCCTACCCACCGTGTCTTGAAGTGTGATCTATGAAATAACTTACATACAGTCCACTTACTGTGATCAGACACAATGCAAAAGGGAGCTTGCTACAGTGGCAAGGCACAGAAAATGCCTCGAAGTGTTGAGAAGAAGAAGTAACAGTTTCTGCTGCAGCCAGCCCATGCTCATGAGGGCACATCCATAAGCAGAAGTGCCCCCGTTACACTGATGCTGCTGAGAAGTAGATGTTTCTGGCTTTGTGGGGTCCTCAGACACCACCCTCTAAAAGCAATCAAAAGGTTGGACATTATTGTTGTGGAACTTATGAGAAGGACTGAGAACAGCAGAAGGTGAAATATTTTTCCTTCTATCTCCAGGTGTATACTGGCTGAAAGAGCAAAGTAGGAAAAGCACAGGAGTATGGCTGATGTGTTTGAAGTCAGGTGCAAACTATGAAGGAGCAAACGAGCTAATGGCTACAGTGAAAACATTTAAAACCTCATTTAACCTGACCATTTTTCTCTTATCAAAGACATGGAGAGATTCCAGAAGCAATTCACTGAAGAAAATTACCCCATCCAGAAGAAATACCCTAGGATTTGACAAGTATCATCAGATGAGGACATTTCTAGACACTGTTTTGGAGGTAGACATTAACTACCTGAAATGAGTAAGTTGTTATTATTATATTTTTTATACTTCCCATTACCACCTTGGAGCAGGATCAAAAATGCCAGAATATCACAAGAAAAGCTGGTCTTGCAGGGTTTTTGGCCAGTGCTTCAAGTCAGAGAGCTGGGAATTTTTGTGAGTGAAAGTTTCACTCATTCCTCATCTGTTGAGTTATGGGGATATATGTGAATGCCAAATAAACATTAACCTTCAGGTACTTGACCAAGCTCCAACTCTGAAAACTATGAAGACTACCTAAACCTTCTTCTGAGTATTCATTTTCTTTTAGTGGGGGGAGCCTGTAGAAAAAAGATGCATGGCTCCCCAAATATATGCAAATGACACTAGTTTCAAGCCTCAAACTCTTTTACAACGCCCTTTGAAGAATGCTTAAAATAAGTCTCCAGTGCATCTGGATAGGTTAGAAACCAGGACAGTTCAAAACATTCCTTCCTGTTCTGTTTCTAATAAGCTGTACTTTGGAATAACAATTAATTCAGTGCCGTGATTAGGTAATCTATGGAATCAGTGTATCATTGCATTTTTGTTTGAACCATGACTGCAGGGAAACAAACCTTCATGGGCCAGGCCATAAGCCAGCTACCTGGCTTTAGGAAGAAACGTGCCTTGGGCTGGCTAACCTTAAAGCCCATACTTACACGGTTGCTTGCACACTTTTCTGAAACATCTGGTATTAACCACTGTCAGAGGAGAAACGAAATACTGTGGGTCATTAATCAAATGTGGAAAGCACAATGTGATTAAGGTGCAAATGCTTCTTGTGCTAGGTCAGTTTTGTGACTACATTTTAAAAACTGAAAGACTCTCTCAAGTTCTGCAAAGCTCCTTCCCTTTTTCCACAGAGATGCAGGGAAGGCCAAACAGGTCCTGCCAGAGCTGCGCGCTCCCCGTGCCAGCAAAGCCCTCTTCTCCTCCCCCATCTCTGGTTCTCTGTCCACCTTGTTCCTCGGGTCTATCTTAGCTGTGGTAGCCAGCAGAATGAGAGCAAGGAGCCGATTTCTGAGAACAAGTCTAGAAACTAAAATCTTCTGCTTCCTGTTCTTGGTTCTAACTTGATTTGCCATGTAATCTTGGGAAGCCCTTTAGGGAGAGATCCTCATCGTATTAGGGTGTTAGGAGTGGGACTGCATTTCCGTTCAGCCTTCTCAGACCAGTTTATAGCCTCCATGTGACCATGTTTTAATATTTGAAAAATAAGTTAATATAACAGGAGTTTTACAGGGATTCAGAACCAAGGCCTGGTTACTTACAGAGCACATGTAGGAGGTAAAGCAGAGAAGGGAAACCTCTTGCCCAGGCACACACGCTGTGGCAGAGAGATGGGAGTAAGCCTCATCTTCTGAAGTCAAAGTTAGTCCACAGCCTTACTTCCAGACTCCCAGAAAGTGTCTGCAAGTTAATGAACCAGCGAGCTGTTTGTGCATTCCTGTCGTCTTAGCTCTCGATCTTGATACTTTTCTGCTGCATTAAGACAGCTTGACAGACCCGGTCTTGAAGCTGGAAACCAAATGAAGTCAGTGGTTGTGAACATTAGACAAATCTTACAACGCTCCCCTGTCACGACACAAAAAGGGAGCTGCCACTCACTGCTCAGGCAGCGCTGCCGTGCACATGGGTACAAACCACCAGTGCCAGTGTACAAAGGTAAATGCCACCTAACGTGGCTTCATCTACAAGGTGCAGACTCGAGATAGCTGCCTCGCAGAGCGATACAGGCGCCGCTACTGACAAAATAGACGTGCGTGTCCTGACAAAAGGATTGGTTTGTCTAAAAGCTGATGCCAGACTGCTTAATTGCCTTGGAGGCAAGGCTCTCAAAATCAGCAGAAATTCAAGCCATACCTGGATTAATAATGCAAATACGAAGGAATCACAACCCCCCTTTGGGGTTTAAAGCTCTCTGAAGCAGCAGTTTGGACTGAGTACGGACTTGCTGAAGTACTGGAGAGTAAATCCCAGGACAGCTCTTGCATGCTATGTCATAATCCTAAAAAAAATCCTCTGCCTAAGGGCAGATCAAGAATGAGGTTGTGTTAGGAAGTTCCTGGAGGATGGCTTTCACCTGGCTGTACCAGGAGGGGAGTATGGAGCTGTCCCTGTGGCACTTCTCAGCTCTGTGCCCAGCTTAGTGAGGAAAACCTTGGGCTAGGACCCCTATGCTTTCCTACAGGAGATCTTCCTTGCTTTCCTTAGGAAAGAAAAATATGAACTGTTATTCCACCCTTGGCAAAAAGGAGAAACTCCAGTATCAGGGCTGAATAAGCTTCTGCCGTGCTTGTAGTCTACAGGCTTGCTTTTTGTTATGGTTCAGCTGCAGCCAAAGCACACCTGAGACTCTCAATTATTGTAATTAATATTATGGCAATGCCCCAAGCAGAAATTAGGTCCCCACTGAATGGTTTGCTGCCCTAATGCATACAAGGATGCAGTTCCTGGCCTTAATGGCTTGCAAGTTAAAAGGAGAAACAATGGTCATGTTTGTGGGATATAATAGCAGGGACAAATCAAGGGAGGGGGTGATGAGAGATGCATGGCTTGTTAGCTCCATTTCTTTCTGACTCGTTTGCTTTAATTATATTACATAAACCTGCATTCAGGGGACGTCAGGGGGAAAATATTGCTGAAACAGGAGACAGGAGGGAATATTGGAATAGGAGGAAAGATGGGGGCAATTATGGCCTGTGGTGCACTCAGGACTCTGAATGAGATGTGGAGAGAGGGAATACAAAAGAGCAAAAAGCGAGCAAGAGGAAAAGCTGAGCTCACTCATTCAACAGCAACAGGGCAGGAAACTGATGGCTTCTCTCTTCTGCTACGAACTCGGTTCCTTAAAAAAAAAAAAAAAAAAAAAAGCTGGGTACCAGCCTTTCTGATTTCCTTCTTCACACAGAAGGGACCTGTTCTGGCTCTTTTACTCGTCTGGGAAAAGGACTGGCCAGGGAACTGTGCAGCTTGCCTTCCCTGAGCAGCTCCCACAGAGCCCTGAGCCAGACTAACCTCGAGAGTGCTGTCAGAGCTGGTACAGGTGATTTTGGTGAAGACCATCACAGATTACCTCTGGGCAGAGCAGCCAGGCCTTCTTCTAACCCAAAAGCCAAGCCAGCCTGAATAAGCCCAAATCTTTCCAAAACGAAGAGAACCAGAGCACCAAAATAAATAAATAAATAAAATAATAATAATAATAAAAAAAAATCTTTCTACCCAGTTAATTAACTGCCCATCTTTGTTTTCCAGGCCCCAAAGCTCCTGCTGTCTCAAAGCCACAAGTGCTGCTGGCTCTTTTCTTCCATGACCAACACTTTGCTCCACTGCCTGATGCTTTAAATGTACTAGGGAATGCAGGCATGGTGCTAACATCACAACTGCTGTTCGTGTACAGGCTCACTGCCCAGTCAAGACATACCTATCCTTCTCCAGGGACAACAATCCACTGCAAACCATCTTCAGAGAAGTATTCTTTTCATCTGCTTCTTTTTTCACCCTCCTAGGATTTCAAGGTATCCTTTCATCCTGAACAGGTGGCAAGCATCACTTGTTATTTTGCTCTGTACATCACTTTTACATAGTGAAGTTCATTTCCATGAGTCCATATGGTTTCCTAGCTACAGTTCCCTCTGTTAAGTGGCTATGAGACAGTTCCAGCTTCTTCCCAGAATATGGCTCAGCTGAGTGTCTGATGCTCCAGCTCAGAGTTTGAGTTTTGAAACCTTTTAGCAGTGTCCCTTTTTGAGATCCACTTGGTGGCTCTCACCACGCTGAATAGTGCTTTACAAGGCTTAGTGTCAAACCACACAAAAGCACGCAAATAGCTTCCTAGTTTTATCGGGATTTTATTGACAAATGGTTTCCAGAACTTATTTCTGACCCTCGTCTTATAGCAAACAATGGTGCCTCCTTAAGCCAAAGTTTACCCTACATTAAGTATTGCCTGTAGCTACAAATCTAAAATAGACATAAAAAAAATAGAAATGAGCTAATTTGCCAGTGTTTCTGTATTTAAACTGTCTTCTCCTTTGAAGTAAATCCACAGGTATTTCACGATGCTGGCTTCCAGAGAACACAAGTATTTCCCCAGATAATTATCCCTTGGAAACTTCTGCACTAACTCCTTTTTAAAACAAAACAGGCAGAGTGGCAAGACTATCAAGAGAAAGAAAGATCAGAAGTGTTACAAGCTCAACAGCAAGGAACTAACAAAATCATGCAGGGCAAGAATTGAGGCTCCCAAATAAACCACTCACCAGAGCCGTAGCTGCTTTGTCTTTGTGGGTCATGTAAATCTGAAATGTTTGGGTTATAATGGACATCATGCACCTCAACAGCTCGATGCATACCTTGTAGGGTAGATACTAAGTTTGCTGCACACACACCGGAGCAGGAGAGAAGATCTGCCTTTGCACAGGGCACACAGGAAAATATTCTGGACACTGGCAGCCCAGCTAGCTACGTGCATTTGCCTATATAGTGGGGTCTAAAATAGAATAATAATTATTATTGTAATTGCTCTACTATATTAACTTATAATACTATTTATCTTAATCATTTATGTTATAAATTGGTTTTGCCTTCTGGGCATAGGTCTGGGAGTCCCAGAGAAATGTGTGAAATTCTCAAGGTCTGCTTAGATAAGCAAGAGAGAATTACATAGCTGAGGAAATGTGGTCAGAAGCCAGGTTGGTTAAGAGATTGGTAACTTCCTCCTTGTGCCCGCTGCCCCAGCAGTGACACCGGGTCTGACTGGAAGGGAAAGGACTCTTTCCCACTGCTCGCTGAATGGGCAGGAGTGCCGTGACACGACAAATCGACTTTCACTTCCTTCAACAAACAAGTCAAATCCCAGTATGCATAAAAACAACCCCGTACCTGGCAGGGGTTCTCTTCTCCCCTGCAGCTGGTGTTGCAGTTGGTGGTGGTGTTGCTTACAAAGATGAGATAAAAATACATCAGCCTTGCTGCAGGAAGCGCGTTGGCACTGTCTCAGCTTCAGACCATGGCCGGAGCTCATAGGGTCAGGGCAAGTCATTCAGCTCTCCCTCTCAGGAGCAAAACAGCAACCAGCAGGCAGCCAAGACCATCAGTCATCCCACAGGAGTGAGCACCCAGCCCTGGACTCTCCCAGAGGTGGGATTAAATTTCTCCCTGCTGCAGGGAGCGGGTAAAAGGTCCTGAGATGAACTCTCCAGCTTGCTCCTCGCTTCAGCTCATTAACTTACTTCATTCTGCATTCGATGCTCAATCTGGAGCTTGCACGTGCAAGAGAAAGTGATGGATAAGCCCGGAGCACAGGACCAGTTTCCTCTATGGTGTTTAAAACAGATCCCATGAACATGGAAGTAGGACTGGGTTCCTTGGATGTTCTCTGATTTGAATGTGAAGTTAAGGGAAGAGTAACCTGCTGGTCCACATTGGTGCTGTTCTACTTAAGTCAAGGAAGAACCTGGTATTTTAATTCCAGTCATGTCTTCCAGCCTCTTAACCTTCTTAATGGCCCTTTACTAACATGTGTCATAATTTTCACACCCTGTGGTCATGCCCCATCCTTGGGAGTGTTCAAGATCAGGTTGGATGGAGCCTTAAACAACCTGATCTGGTGGAAAATGTCCATGCCCAGGACAATAGGATTGGAACTCTAAAGGTCCCTTCCAACCCAAACCACTCTAAGGTTCCATATTTTATGTTAACTCTGAATATTTTCTGACGAAAAGAGGTCCACAGCCTTAATTTTCATCACACTGTTGTCCCCTGGCACAGCTCCAGAAATGTATGTGTAATTTGTAACCCCACATGCATACTGATTACTGATTCTGGATTTAAAACTGAGATAAGAAATACACTTTCTTTCCACCCTTAAATAGGGATTTAGAAACTTGTTTGTGCTACCTGCCTTGGCTGGTATATGGTTGGAATGTGAGTCTTATGTCTCTCGAGACAATGTCTGCTTTTGATATGGTTGCTAAATCCAGTTCTTTTCCTTGTTAAATTTGGCTACCTCAATGGAGCAATCCACCCTCCCACAGACCAGAAAGGCTGGTTACATTTTTCAGGCAGTTCTCTTTTGGGATGATCAGGTTACAGCAAATGTATCAGCAATTATACAAATAAAAATATACTTCAAGGGCCTGGGATTTTTTAAGGCAGCAATCCTAATTCTAATTCAGTTATAGAGAAGACAGAGATACTTTCTAGAGGTCAACAGCAAAAGAGGCAACAGAGATGAACTGCAAGAAGGAAATGCCAAATAGGAAAAAAAAAATAATAATAATAAAAAAAATAGTCCTCATTACGAGGGTGGCCAAACATCAGAAAAGATGTCCAAAGATAAGTTGTCCAAGTCTCTTGAGGCAGAGACTCAAAACTCAACCAGACAAAGCCCTGAGCAACCCGATCTAATACTGAACTAGTCTTGTTCTGAGCAGAGGATTAGGCTAGATGACCTCCAGAAATCCTTTCTAACCTAAATTATGCTTTGTTTCTATAAAAAAACCTTATAACTCATTGTCAAACCAGACACAAGGTGACAGGCATACCACAACTTGCACGAGGAACAAAAAATACTATAATAATTTTCATTATTTCAAGTAGTTTTGCCAATATAGGAATATAGGCTATGTATTTCATATTTATTGTAAAGTTATTTTGTCTTCACTAGCTGTGAGTTTCTGGGATGCTGTGACTGCCTATGCCTGAGGCTCCTGAGATCCAGCAGCTTTCCAGCAAAGCCAAGACCTTTGCTAAGTTCTTGCCACCAAATATCAGAATAATTTATCAGCTGTCTCACACCAGTTACAGAAGACGCTCCCAAAGGATATCTTCATGTTTGTCTTTCATTCTGGGATGCATAAATCCCTATCTAATCAATCTCAGAAGCTGTGAGGCTGGCAATTCACCGTGCTGCTTTTGTTCAGCCTTCCAATGATATGTCTGGTGAGGAGAACATTTCGCTTGCATACGCCCAGGAATGGTGACCGCCTCCATGAAGGAAACCTGGAGAATAATAGCCACATTCTTCTTGATTAGCAGAGTAAAGAGTAACTCTGTAACATACCCTGCAGCTATGATAAAAGAGATATAACTGGAGATGAAATAATAGAACTCAAATTCTGTGGAGAAGTAAAGACGCTACGATCATTTTTCTCTCTCTCTGGGGCATGCTTCAGAAGTGGGGCTGGACCAAATATGTGGAATAATTCAGGCTTGGACTGACAAGTAATCACAAATTTAAGAGTTCAATATGTGAAGTAATTTCAAACCTACTCCAAAAAAAGACAGGTTTGGGAGGGGTTTCTTTTTTGGAAAATATTTATCTGTAGCCAAGTCTAAGTCACGCATTATGTCTAACTCGATAGCTACCATAGCTATAGTCAGGGCAGAGGAACAGGCATGTCTGGAGGTCAATTTGCTTCCTTCAAGGACATGCATTTAAGACAGTGATGCATATACCTGGGTCAGATGAATACCACCCCAAGGCTTCTGTTTCATAATGTTGAAAATTAAATATTTACCTTTGGAAATTAGAAAAAAATGTTAAAAAATAATAAAATAAATGAGGGCCGTTACTTTCAAGTAGAAAGTAATTTTGATTAATAATTACAAAGTTGCAAAATTAAACATTTTGCTTTATTTCAGGGAAAAAAAAAAAAAAAAAAAAAAAAAAAAGGAACTTCAAACTTTTTTTCCATTCTTTTTTGGTCCGAAAAAAAATCATTGATTTCCATTCTACAGGTCCAGTACCGCATACATTGTAGTAGGGTGGAGTCAGTATTTGTGAAGCAAAACAAAAAGCTTTTTAAGTAGGAAACGTGGTTGTTAACAAGCTGCAGAATGTGATTTTTAAATTATTATTATTATTGCTTTATTTATCAAATTAGCGTTTCCCTCAAAAGCCTGTGATTACAAATATTTCATACATTTTAAGAAAGCGATTATCCTCTTGAAACAGAATATGTGACAGTTTGGTATTTTTTTTTCACTGATTTATGATCCTATTTAATATTTAAGAGTCATCCAGTCAAGGAAAACAGCATGTGAAAGTACAAACACACGACATGGATAAATATGCTGAAATGCTCAAAGGAAGCTCTTTCTAACAGCCAAAGGACTGAATGTTATTTTTGCAAGATATTCCACAAAGAAAGAACTGAAAAAGTAAAACCAAACACGTTAAAATCTCAATTCAGAATTTTCCCCTCTCCAAAAAAATAATGCTAAATCCACAACAAACAGTTCAGCCAGCTCAAAACTCAGCTGGGGTCTGATCCAGCCATTATTTTGGTGCTTGAAATCAAAAGGGATTTGATGGGAATGAATGATAGATTATTTTCTTCACGTTTTTAATTGGGTGACTTCTTCCCTTAAAGGGTTCCTAATTTTTCACACATGTCTCCAAATATCCTCTGCCAATACTAAATTCTGCTCAGATGGATTTTCTGTTAGAGAAAAATTTGGCAGTTACGACTCTTTGGCTGCAATCCAGTAAATGCAAGTAGGAGGAGCCTTCAAGTTGAAATGTTTTGTGTAGATAGTGTGTTACTTCTTTGTGCATCCAGATTTACACATTCTTGGAATAAATAAAGTCATGAACTTTTGTTTAGTTTCTTTTGACATTAAAAAAAAAAAAGAAAGGAAGAAAAAAGAAAGAAAAAAAAAAAAGGAAAAAAAAAAAAGAACAAGAGAAGTATCAGTAACACAGAATCATTAACAATTCTTTCTCTGGTCTTCAGTCTACCAGAAGTTAACTGTCTTTCTCTCTTTGTCCATGTTGTTAGCGTATACAATCTGATGCAGGCATTTTTAGAAATTAAAAGTGATTCAGTCAGATGGCTTGAGTTATCCATAGTCTTCTTAGGAAGGATCAATCTTATTAAGCAGGTGAATGCCTTAAGATATTACGTCCTCTTTAGATATTCCCTCTTTTAATCTTCTGAAAAGGGATTTGAAAGAAAGAGATACCATTTGTTAAATTTACTTAAAAAAAAAAAAAAAAAAAAAAAAAAAAAGGCTTTGGGTGAATAAATTACAGACACTCAAATCAGAAGGAAAATTGAGATTTCCAAGTTTGTAGATGAATATTTAAGTATGCCAATAACGAGCAGTTGAAATAGTACAGCTGAGCACAGTAATGCAGCTTTAAAAGGCCCCAAATGGTGACATTCAGATTCCATGATTTTGAGTTATTTTTGCTACAGATTTAAACAAAACCTATCTTCTTATTCCAGTTTGCTGAAAAAAAAATAAGGACTTGAAGAATGGGTTGTACCTTGCCACTGATGCCTCTTTTGTACGACATCAGAGGGATGATAGAGGCTTATGGCTAGAAAGTTCCCATATATAATTTCTGTTAGAGGGACAACAGCTTGTATGTTTGAGTTATTGATGACATGCTCATTATAAAAATCTACATAAATTATTTCTTCTCTCTCTCTCTCTTTTTTTTTTTTTTTCTCCTTGCAAGTTTGGGTTTATTGGGTAGTTACTAAGATTAGCAAACATTTCCCAATCTAAAGGGTAATTCGCAGGAAGTTCTGGCATTTTTATATATATCCAAGTTTACAGGGGAAAAAGTCATATAATTTGTAAATTCCCATAAAAAAAAAAAAAAAAAAAAAAAAAGTCATGTCAATAGAAATACATCATTTTGTTAAAATAATAATGAAAAAAACAAAGGCTTTTTTTTTTTTTTTTAATAAGAGCTTTTCTGAAAGAGGAGTAATAGATGAGAAACATTCCACTCCAAAAGCTCTGCAATGTGCCTTAACCAAATTTCCTTTTACATAACCATGAATATTTCCAATACAAATATCCACCTAGACTTACTCCCACTGATGAACGAGCAGTTTCAAAATGGAAAACATTTATTTACAAAATGTTTGCCTGCTCCTTTGTGCCACCTTGGCAGCGTAAAAAAGGCCATATAAGAATAGAAGAACTTCAGTCTTCCCCCAGTTTTCACAACTGCTAATTTTTACTTGGGCTCAAGTGTTAATAAATGAGCAGGACATAAGACAACAAGGAATGTCTGAGGAACAAACTTACACAGTCCTTGTCCCCATCCATAAGACATTCAGCTACACACTTTCTCTACTCTTTGGCACTATTTCCACTGGGATAAAATAACTTGGTAAATCTGCAGAAGCACCCTTGTTGTGGTGGTGAGGTCTCTCCTTGGTTATCTGAGCTTTCACTGCTTGTGTTTTTGCATCGATGACCTGCACACACACAGCACCATGAACCCCACCCACTCACAGACAATAGCATTGTCCAAGGGAAGAGTTATTATTCACTGCTTTCCTTAGTGCTTCTAGTGTAAAATACAATATTTTAGGGTTCTTTCATGGCTTAGTTTAATAAAATATAATTATACTCACATCAGGTTGGTGGGGTTTTTTGCATTAGTGAGAGTGGTTAAGAAGAATGTAGGAAATTGGACCTGGGTGTAAAGATAGCTGATAATTATGCCTGGTAGTAAAAACCAGAGAAGCACAGGATTTCATTACATAGACCT